TAATTTTTCTCTTAGTAATAAATTTAAAATCAAAAAATTAGTATAAATGCAACCTTTGTTTTTGCTTTTCAAAATTTTTGATTTAAAATGAAAAATTATATTTGTTTTATCACTTCTTGTTGATTGAAAAATAAAAGACAAATATATTATTATACTTTTAGGTAAAGAATTAATTTTTTTTAATTGTATTGAGAAAATATATGGTTGAGTTTTTATTAAGAGTTTTTACATTAAGTTAAGAAAGTGTTTTCTTTAAATGTTTTGATTTTAGTTTTTAATATAAACGTATTCAATATTATCTTGCATAAAAATTTCATTAAAAGTTATTTGTATAATATGCGCAAATATTTAGAATTAAAAATTATTTAAGACTTGTATAGAAATTTATATTCAAATAGAGAGAAGATTAAAATTAAATAGAAAAACAACAATAAAGTTAATTTAAACAATGAACATTTTATGGCGGATACCAAAAAAGAATATAAATTTTAATAATTCAACATTTCTATAAAACAAACTCAAAAATATAAACTAAATGCCTAGACTTCATTTAATTAGTATATTCTTATATTTGCGCATTTATATAAATATTAATTAATTTTCAATGCAAAAATAGAAAGCAATAAGTATAATAAAGAGAATATTGTTTTATTATTGTTTGCTTTTTTTTATATTTTATATCTTATTATAAACTTTTGAGGAATCTAAAATTTAATACAAAAACACTAATTTTTTCATAAGATTTTTTGGATTTGTTTTGACTTTTTTCAACTTTTTTAATTAATTCATATTAATTTAAAATATTAAGAAATATATGTATTTACAAAATTAATTAATAATATTTTATTTATATGCGTTTTCTATATTAAATATTTCACTCTTTATTTTGAAATCTTATTTAAGATAATAAATTTAATGATTATAAGTTTTAAAAACTATATATTTCTTTTTTAATTTTTATTATAGGTTTAGGATTTTCAACACAAGCCAAAGGACGTGTATGTAAGTTAATGATATTTTTAATTTTTTTTTTTTTTTTGTTTTCTTTTGATTTTGAATTTATGCTATTATTTAAAGGGTTAATTGTTTAATGTTCTTTTAGATTTATTAAAATTTAAAACTTATACTTCTCATTAGGAAATTCAATAACCATGGACTTTTGAGAATTTTTCAAGATTGTTTTAGTAACAATTAAAATGAAAATACACTAAATGTGAATAACCATATAATATATAAAAAAAAAACTATAGAAAACAAATAGAAAGAAAAACACTATTAACAGATTTTTACTAAATTTTTGCGTATTTAGTTTAAAAAACAAAATAATAATTCTTCAAGTTTTGATAATAGATTTGAAAATAGAAAATTTTTTACACATCTTGATCAGCATTAAATTAAATAACTATTTAGTTATCGTTAATAAAACCTTGACTTAATAAATCTGAATTTTTAAAGCAAGCTTCTTATCATATTGAAAATTAGTATTGAAAAATCGTAAAGTTAAAATTTTACAATACTATTTTTCAATTTAAAATTAGTTAATTCTTTTTTTTAATTTTTTAAATAGGTTGACTAATTTCAAATGTTTGTTTTGTAAAAATTTGTTTGTTTTAATACTGATCTTTATAAAATTTAATTACATTTTTTTTTTTTAAATTGAAGTTTTAGTATAAAAAAAAGCTTTTGAAATTTCGAAATACATAGCTCTATAAAGGTTATATTTAGTAAAATTTAGTAAATTTTATTAATAAACAAAAAGAAATGTTATTGATTTATTAAATAACTAGTGATATGTACAGCTTTAACAACACGAAAGTTCTATTAGCGGCTACAATAATTACAGAAATTTGATTAATATATTATGAAATTTAATTTTATTATACTAAAATTTCTTCAAAATTGAAAAATAAAACAAAATTAAAGATATATGATTAAAAATTTATTATTTTAAAATTATAGTAATAACAATTTTTTTTTTTTAAAGAATAAGCTACACTTATGTATTTTGAAATTTATAATATATTTTATTAAGTTTATTCACACAGTATAAATTTTAAAAAATTTAATATTATAATTTACCATTTGCAAAAATTTAAACAATTAAAAAAAATTTTTCCAATAAAGTCTATATGAAATGGCAAACACAATTTTAAAATAATTAAAATAAATAGAAAATTAAATTAAAAAACCGTGCATTCTTTTAATATATTCCAAGAATTTATCGGTTTAGCAATTTGAATCTTTAACAGTTTACACAATAAATTCCGTATTCTTAAAATTATTTAATTATATCTAATTTAACCTATTTATTTAAATTCACAACGGGCTATAAGGGAAACTTGTAATTCATTTGCAGATATCTAAAAATCACAAAATATGAAATTAATAATTTTGAGAAATTTGTAAATTGAAATTGTAATTGTAAAAAAAAAAAAACAAAATTTGGTTTTGCAAACATATGAAAAAAATTTTGTAAATATCTAAAATAAGTATTAAGATTAACAATTTCTAGTACAGTAACCGTGCTTCAATGTAAAAACAATTTTAAAATAAATTTACGCAAATTTCACTTAAATATTCTCAAAATAGAAAAAATAATTCTTTGTTAGGCATTTGATTTTGCTTCTGAGATATTTTTTATAAATCAAAAATTAAGATACATAATTATACAAAAACTCTTTACTATTCAAAAATGGACGGAAATTCAAACGTGAACACCAATAATTAATATTTTAAATATTAAAATTAGAATGTAACTTATTATCAGATAGTAGTATGTTATATTTCTATTTGAAAAACTGATTGAAAATGATTGAAAAGTTTATAAAATATTCAGGGAACTCACTGAATTAAAATCGAATTAAAATTTAATTTAATTTAGATATTATTTGCAAATTAAACACTTCATAATTATATATGTGAGAACAATAAGGAATATTATTAACAAGAATAAGAATTACGATGCAAACATTGTTTGCAATAAATGATTAAAGTTTTATTTGTTATTTCTAAATATAGTAGAATTTTATTCTGAATTAATATATTATATTCAGGTAATTATTGAAATTTTTAGATAATAAAGACTTTTAATTTTAAGTTAAAGGATTACATGTTACAGTATAAAAAATGATCAACTACAACCTTTTATTCAATAAATTTTTTATGTGTATTTGCAACAAAGACTTTATATTATTCTATAATTTAACTATTTTTTTTTTTCTTTTTATTATTTTAGTATTTTAACATATTATGTTTTCATAAATAAAAAAAGCGTTCATAAGAAATTGTAATCATCAAAAATATTTTATGAAAAAATAATGAAAATATTTTAAAGTCTAACTTATATTGGATGTGTAATCAGAATAATTGTATCAATAATAAAATTAATTTTTCTGAAAATTAATTCATTTTAAAAATTAAAATTTCTAATGTTGAATAGAAATATACAAATGTATATAAACTATAAAATTATTTTATATAACACATTTATTAATTCGTAAATTAAATTAATGTTGTAAATCAAAAAAACTAATTTTTTCAATAAAGAAATATAATTTTTATAAACATTATAACAATAAAACACTATAATATTTTTAAAAAATTGAAACAAAAAAATTTTTTTACATATTATTTTATAAGCTCATCCCCTTATGTTAAAAGAAAATATTATTTTATTAAAAATATATTTATGATTTATTATTATAATTATTATAACATTATTATTAATACAATAAATATTAAACTTGTATAATAATATATTAATATTAATATAATAATAATATGAATAATAATAATAATAATAATAATAATAATAATAATAATAATAATAATAATAATAATAATAATAATAATAATAATAATAATAATAATAATAATAATAATAATAATAATAAAACCATTTTAAAATAATTAAAACAATTAATAAATTTTATGTAAAAAACTGAATTTGATTTGAACTAAATAATAAAAACCAAAAGTTAAATTAAGTAATATAAAAATAATTGTTTTGTTTTTAACAAATTTATGGCCATTAATATTGTTCATTCCCTAAGTTGGATTTTTTTTTCAATGTTTTTAATTATTTTTTATTTAAAATTTTTGTGAAGAAAAAATTATCCCCTTTAAATAGTTAAAAAGTTTGGTTATTCTTTTATTTTTTAAATACATGTTTTATAATATATGTGTGTTTTTCATATTATATTTTTTTAAACAATTTAAGCAAAGCTTTTATTTTTGAATTAAGTTTATGTGATTTTTTGTTTTGTTTTTTTTTTTTAAATAAGTTAAAATTTTGTTTTCATAAAATGAAAAATTATTATTTTTAAATTTCTTACATATATACATTTTTTGTTTTATTTCAGAAAACAATAAAATCTTTTTTTTAAATTTTTACATTATGATTCTTATATAATTTTTGAATCCTTAAAATAGGTTTTTTTTAATTCTTTAAATTTCACTCATTAATAGATTTCATAGATTTGATTTTTTAAAGATTTTTTATTTCATTTTGAAAATTGTAATCTAATATTAAAAAATCATTTATTTTTGTCTCATTTTCTTTATATTAAATTTTTAAAATTGATTAAAATTTATAATATAATTTACAGTAATATTTTTAGTTTAATTTCTTTCTTTTGTTTTATATATTTTAAGCCAATTTTTTTTGAATAAATTTACTTTTTTGTTTTGATTTAGTTCATTAAGGTTATCAAAGAAAAAATTTCTAGGATTTTCATTGTCTAGAATTTTGGAGATTTTTAGCTATAATATTTGAACTATTTTTATATAATATTTTAGTTTAAATGTAATTAAAATTAGCTTCTTTTTGTTTTATTCAGTTTTTCTATTTAATTATATATATATATATATATACATTAATATGTGTATGTATGTACAAATATTGATTTCTGATTTCTACTTTATAGGCAAATTTTCTTTCTTTGAAAGAAATACACTTTATTTATAATGTTATATCTAAGGAATTTTTGTTTTATATTCTTGTTGAATTCTTTTGTTTTATTTTTAAAGTAATTATGAATATTTAAAATAATTTCTTTTTATAAAATGTAAATGTAATTTGCAAGAACTTTTATAATTTTGTTTTTATTAAATGATTTTTTTTTATACATTTTGTAAGGAGAGAAAATATCTTAAGTCTATATAATTTTACTACCTATATAGAAGAAGATGTTACTAAGAGTAATTCAGTAAGTTTAGGATTGTATTTTATGTAAAATAAATAAATTTAAAAAAAAATGTTCTTTAAATATAGAATAGAAGTTCAGTTTCATAAATACTATTTTGATGATGTATTTTCGTTTAGTTGCTTTTATATAGATATTAATGCTGTGGATTATTAATTGTTTAAAATTTGATTTTTAAAATGATCTCATGTGTTTTTTGTGTCATCTTTCTCTTCTTATATAATGGTATTCCAATTTTTTTTTTAATTTAGAGTAACGTGCAGAATAATAGTGTCAAAAAATATTATTTTAGTAAAAAATTCCGTTGTTGTTGGTATTGTGTTATAAAATGAAAATATGTATGATAAAGATTTCTTTTACGTTGTTGTTATCTTCAAATAATTGTTTTATGCCTTCGGTAGAATTTTGCATTTTTTTCTCGTTAGGATTTCTAAAATGGCTTTTCACTAAAATTATATAAAAATAAATATGTTATTACATGTGTTTTAAACGTTTTAAAAAATATTTTAGAATTTTAGTCAACAAGTAATTTTCTTACTTTGGTCCTGGAATGATTTCCATTTCTTGTTGTCCTGGATACTGGAAGTTTCGGAGGTATTCCGCCCTGTGTTGGTGCGCCAGCCTCTCTTTTTCTGCTCGTTCTCTCTGAAGTCTAAAACGCAGGAAACAAAATATTATTAAAGACTGATGGTAATAATAAAGTGTATTTAAAAAATTTTTATAACTAAATTTACAAAATAAAAATATTTATAATAACAATATTACATAATTAGAAATAATCAACTAAAAAGAGTAGAAGAGCGCAAACTAAAAGTTATTGGAAATAAAAATCGTATTTCAAAAAACGAAAGAAATGAAAAATTACCAAATAAGTACAAAATAAAAACGTTTATAATACACTGACATATAATCTTACCAAGATTGTTAGACTATCGTCCCAAATGCTATATATTTTTTATGTTATGTTAGTAGTATTTTTTTTTATTAGTCAAGTGAATATGGAAAGCGTAAGGAAAAATAAATTTGATAATTTGTTAATAATTTCATATTTACATTTTTGTTTTGAGTTTAATACTATTTGAAACCAAAAATATTTTAGAAGGCAGGTATATATACGAACATTTAAATTAAATATTTAGACTAAAGGGAGATTCAATGTTTACCAAATTAAAAACATTTTAATTTAAAAAAAGAAAACTTACTTCATTTTTGACTGTCTCATAAACTGTTGGATTTTACGTGCAGCTTTATTTTGAGTTCTTTGGGAATATGTTCTTCTACGGAAAATAAATAGCGTTTAAATATTTAAAATAATTTTATGACGTAATTTTTGTAAAAAAATATTATTTACTTTAATGGTCCAGATGGACTAGCTTCTTTAGAAGTTATTCCACTACCTCCTGCATTTTTCATTTGATTTTGTTGTTGTTGCTGTTGATCATTATGATAAGTAGTATAATAATGTTGTAAGCATTGTGAATCTTGACTATCTTCATTTGATGTTGTTGTATGATTTTGAGATTTTTTGAACCTTTTATTTTCACAATAGGATCTATAACCATTTTGTATAACTAGTGCAGCATGTGTTCTTTGTTTATTATATAAAGCAAATTGCTTATATCTTCGATAATAATTTTGAATAACAATTGCAGCTGATCTTTCTTTATCTTGTTCTTCCAGTTTTTTACGACCCTTATACGAACGATATGCTTTTTGTATACACTTGGCTGCTTCATATAGTTCACGTTGTTCACGATCTACAATAAAATCAAAATAGTTTTATTTTACTATAGAAAAAAAAAATTTTTATAATTTTATAATTAAAAAAAACTAATCTGAAAACGAAAATATCTTAATAGAATAAAAAATGGATTTAAATCTCTGGTATCCTCATTATACTAACCAGTTAATGTCAAATTTGAAAAATCAGCTTCAAATGGTCTTAATGATGTATTAGATGCATGTAAAAATTCAGTTAATTCTTTGGTTGAAGGTGGTGGACTTGGTGAACTCATCGTGGGCTCTTGTAGTATAGAATAGCTTGCTGGTGATTGTAAAGGACCAGAACTAGCTGGACTTAAACTAGAGCATGGTGTACTAACATCGTGATATCGGTAATTATTATCACTAAATTCAAAATTGAATTCATGATCAAATTGTGAACTTGGTAATGAATCCAACAATGGTTCCATAAAAGAATCATTTAAGTCACTTGTATTTAAAGAATCTGACATTGGACTACTTAAAGACATTATGTCTTCAGATTCATTCTAAAATAAAAAAAAAAGTGTATATATAAATCAAGTATATATATATAACATATGTATGTAATTTATTTAAATTTTAATAAATTACCTTAATTCTTTCAGGCATTGCTGCAATAATGTGTTCAGCTAATGTCAATACTTTAGCATCAGATTCCCCTGTAAATACAAAACAAATATTTTTTTTTTAATAACAAATTGAACATATTGATTTCTTGTCAAAATAATTTACAAATATTTTTTACTGAATTAAAATTGTTGCCAATACATGTATAAAAACATCAAGATGATTTTAAACAATTTACTGTGACAGTCGTGCGCTTTTTAGTCAAAAATAACAAAATTTGCTTTATTTAAAAGACTGATTAAATATCAACTAAGGAACAAATTCATGCAATTTTAAAATAACAAAATACGAAAGCTGCGATTAAATAAAATGCAAAAGCCAAAATCTATTTTTTAAACTAACATTGATAAGCTATGAAAATTAAAATAAAGAAGCAACTTAATTTTATGTCATCAAAAAAAAATTTTTGTTTTTTCTACAAAAGGAGCATAAGTTCCTACCTTAACATTTAAAAATATTACATTTATTAATTTGCTTTTTTCTTTTTTACAACCTAAATTATACCTATGAATGATATAGTTGATTTGCAGGTTATGTAAGATTTTGTATTTATAATATTGAATATTATGGTACAAAAAGTCTAGCGATTTTGTAGTGTTGCCAGGTTTATTCATTTCAATTGTTTTTTTGGTTTTTAAAAATCATAGTATTTTAAAATAATTTATATCAAATTTGTAGCTACACATAGGTATGTTTATTGAATAATTTTAAAATGGCGATGTTTTCTTAAGAACAAGAAATAACAAAAACAAAAAAAAAATATCGTATTTAATGTTTCGTCTTTGAAAATATTTAGTGTTTCGCATATAATATTTTGTGGTCCACTACGAATATTGTTGTTGTTGTTGTTTTGAATTTTATTAAATTTGCATTTTTTACATTTATTAATTTTAAATGTAAATTATAAACAATTAACAAAAAAACAGAAAATAAAAGAGTAACAAAACAAAGATTACACTCAAAATTTACAAAAATATAAGATTATTATATATTTGTTTATTATATAACAAAAAATAAATTAAATAACATGAAAAAATTTATAAAATAATAAAGTAAGCACTCAAAAATTGTATAGAGGTAAATAAATTAAAAGAAAACATAATTTGGAAAAATTAAAAAAAAAATCTTGGTAAAATCATTCTTCTTCATCACAATATTTCACACAATAAAATATTTTGTTAAATAAATCTATATATTTTTTATTTATTTTTTTCCCAAATATTGTGTAAAAATATTTGACAAGTATTCAAAGTTTAACAATATAATATTATGTTAAATTATTAAGGTTGTTGTAATGGCCGTATTGCATAACAAAATAAGAAAACATTTAAAGTTCCATAACTTTTAGAAATTTTATGTTATAAATAGTTTTATTAGATTATTTATATTTTCTCAAAAATAAATATTTACATATATTAAATATGTCAAATTCAAATGTCAAATGAATGTTTTTAAACAGTAAAGTTAAAATAAAATATTAAATTAAGAATACTCTATAAAAGTTTATAACAGTTAGAAGTTCAGATTGTTAAATTTTTGTTAAAAAATATAATAGTAAGAATATAATTAAATTAAATAATAACATAATAATAGAATTTTGCATAATAATAGTATTATAGCCGTGTTTAATTATATTAAGTAAGATGACGATTCGAGTATAAGAGATTAAAAATAATAAAACTTATTTACCGAAAAATAAATATTATTATAGTATAATTTATTATGTTTTATTTTATCCTATTTTTTTTGTATAAATACATAAAATTATATACACATATAATGTATGTTTTACCAAGACATAATTTAAATATTTATTGATTAAATTAAAAACACAATATCATAATAATATAATAAAAAAAATACGTGTATTAAATTAAGACATCATAACATAAATATAAAGAACAAAATAATAAAAATTAACAATTTTAAACGAATATTTATTATATATACATAAAATGTATTGCGGATAATATTTAATAAAGTAAAATATTTATAAAATAAAAACCAAAAAAATTTAAAATAAAAACACAATAAATAACAAAAAAAAAAATTTAAGATTAAAATATTAATTATATTATTTAACAAACAATTATATTACCTTCATAAATGAAGATTAATTTAAAATACAAAAATTTTTTGATCAAATTATAAAAATAGCTAGTATATTTCCTTATTTTTAGGAAATCAAAAATAATTTTCTTATTCAAAGAAAGAAAAAAATAAATAAAAAATTTTACAGAAAATAAATATAAAAAAAAACTCAAAAACAGAAACAAAACAAGTAATTAAATAAATAAAATATAAAAAAATAAAAAATAAATTATAAATCTGAACTAACCTACGCAAACACCACCATTTTCATTCATTAAATTTTGTTCTGCAATATCTTCATCATCAGAAGACGTACATCCAGACTGTTTATCCTGTGGACTTGATTCAGCAGCCGATACTTCGCCTACAAATTGAAGTCAGCGATATTCATTTTCTTTTATTTTTTTATTTTTTTTATTTTTATTTATTTTAATAATTATTAATTGTTGATTTTTTAAATGGTTTAATAAATTTTTATTTTATCGATTTCAAATTTATAATTTTTAAGTAATTTATTTTATTAAATATTAGATTGTCTTCTTTTTACTGATTTATTTTAACTTATGATTAATACAATACATGTATTTATATTATATAATATATATAGATATATAATTGTATATATTTTGTCATTCTAAATTGTATTTAACGTTGTATATTGATTTAGGTATATAAATAATCAAAATAAATATTAAATAAAAAAGAGATTTTTAAAATAATAATCGAAACTAGAATTGAATATTTCAAATCTAAAAGCGTAAATTATTATATATAATATATATAGGTATACCGAATTATTGGAAAACTAAATTATAAAAAAAATATATATATGTATATATATATAGATATATAAATATTTATTGAAAATTAAAACTGTAAAATGTAGTAAAAAACTAAATTGTGCAAAAAAGAGTAAAGTTCTTAAAAAAAAAAAAAAGAAATATTTATTTGTCATTGTAAATGCATCATTAATTTTATTAATTTTTTCGATCATTTTGTAATATAAGTAAGTAAATGTATTAACTTTAAAAATTAAGAAAAAAAAATACAAAATTATGTAATTTAATAATTTTGTTTTGTTACTAAGATATTGTGAGAATAATCTATAATATTATAAAAAAAGAAATAATAGAAGAATGAATTGAGGAAAATAAACAAAATAAATAGCATATGATTAACTTCTTAAATGCAGATAATTTAATTTCTCGGCCAGAGTTATTTGAATTTTAAATTTACTTCAAAATAAGTTCGGCAATTGTTCGGCAATAAGTTTGGAAAAACCGTTCTTCATAAATTTTTTTAGTACTAAAATTTTATTTCATTATGGCAATACATTCACTGGATGGCAGCCAAAGAGTAAAGAATTGTATTAAAAAAAAAATTTGAAAAATTTTAAGTTTACCCAAAACTTCATTAATTGTTGAAATCTTAATTAATTCGGGTCTTAATTATTATATGTAGCAACTAAAAATATTCAATATACGCAAAAGAAATTTTTATTTTTAAAATATGAAAAAGAAAAACTGCATGTATAATTTCATTATACTGCCCTAGTACTAATAACATTTTGAAATTTTGATAAATAATCAATAATTTTTAAATTACTTAAATTATCTATTCAGAATAAATTGAACAAATATTCAAATATTCATTTAATAATAAAAAATTTTAATCATATGCTAATCATTAAATTAAAAAAAATAATAAATTAGTTTTTATTTTATTCATTTCATGTATAAGCGTAAATTTAAATTTTGAAATTTAAAAAAAAAAATTATTTCTTAATTAGAGAAATCGAAGTGATTTAAGAGAAAAAAAAGAAACCGAAAAAAGAATTGGAAATAAATTAAATATAATATAAACTAAGTATTATAATTTTAATGAAAAATTTCAATTTTTTCATTTAAGCGTTAATTTTGTAATAATTAAATAAAAAGAAAAATATGTAATTTTTAAATTTTATATAAAAATAAAATTATTGAAAAAATGGTTAATTAAAATAAAGATATTTCTTACATAGAGCGAAATCCATTTTACGCATTGGTGATAATAATGAACTAGCACTGGAACTGCTGCCAATACCATTATCTAAGCTAAATGTTGAATCCATGGATAAATTGAAATTGTCATTTGTATCAAGACTAAAGTTAAAAGTTTTTAAATATAATATTGTTTTTTTTTTTCGTTTGTTAATGTTTTAATGATATTCATTGAAAATATATTAATGTATATAAAAAGATGATAAAAATTAACAAAATAGAAATATATAATAAATATAATATAAATATAAATACGATTTATATTAAATAAAGAAATTTTACCTTTGAAAACGATTTTGTTCTTTAAATAATTTGCCAGATCTTGAATAGGTTCTAATATCAATATTAATTCCACTATCCACTGAAGATCTTTTTGATATTCTTGCACTTGGTGGACTTTGGCTACTGAAACATACACATAAAAAAAATTATTTATACACTCTTTAATTAATAAAATTAACAAAAATTTTAAATTTTACCTTGCAACAGCTCCTGGTCTTAAAAAAACACCATCATGACTTCGATTACTACCAACCGATGATACATTTGAATTTGGTGATAAACATTGTGATAATGATGATTGTATTTCATTAAAATTTAAATTTTTACCATTAGTACTACCATCACTACTGCTATTCGAATCAAATGAATTACAATTACTAGCATCATTATTATAATTTAATCCTTTTTTCTCATTATCATTATTAAAATCCTTATAACTATCTGTTGAATTTGAATTTTGACCATTACTTGCATTACTACCATTACTATAATTACAACTATTTTCCTCAATTGGACTAGAATTGGAAGATGATTTATCATAAGTACTTGTTGGATTGATTTTTGTGTTATTACAATTGTTATTATCATTATTATTTTTATTCTTATTATTGTTATTATTAATTACTTTATTATTATTATTATTTTCATTATCATCTTTATTATTGGTATTATTTATTTCACATTTAATTTCTGTTTTGATATTATCATTATTTATTTGATTATTTTTATTATTATTTGTATTATTTTTATTATTTTCAACTTCATTTTTATTAACATTCCTTTTTCTGTTATCATCATGATAATTACTGTTACTGCGATCATTATTATTATTAGTATTTTTATTTAAATTAGTATTATCTTTATTATGATTGTTATTAGTTTTTATATCATCAGTATTTTTATTATTATTACAGATTTTATTTTTATTAATATTATTTTCATTAGTTTTGTTTTCATTATTATTTTGATTATTTTTTTTATTATTTTCATCACTATTGACGGTAGTTGTGACATTAATACTGTTAATATTATTTTTACTAATATTGTTATTATTATTAGACACTTTATTGTTAATGATATTATAATTATTATTATTACAACACATATTATCAGTATTATTACTCTTGGAATTATCTTTATTATTATCATTCTTAATAGTATTATTACTATTATTTTTATCATTGCATTTACTATCATTATTATTATTATTTTTATTATTTCCATTATTTTTTTTATCATTATTCTTATTATCATCATCGTTATTGTTGCTGTTTTTATTGCTGTTGTGACTAATATTATCACAATTATTATTACTAATATTATTGTTGTCATTATAATTATTATTATCCATATTATTGCTATTGTTAGAATTTGTATTTGTTAAAATTGGTGTTTCGAATGTTGATGTAGATGTCGATGACGACGATGACAGTAAATTAGCTTGTGGTGCAGCTAATGCTGAATCTATTGTTGCTAATATAGTTATTGATGAATTAAAATTATTTAAAGCTATTGAAGATGAGTTATTTTTTATTAATTGGCCATTTAATCGAATATTTTCTAAACGTTTTAGTTCATCAAATAATTGTTGGAAGCTATAACAAATTTTTGAAATAAAGTGATATTTAAAAATCAAAAAATATTTCAATATTATAAATATATTACATATTATGAATAATTTAATATTACCTGTTTGCTTTTGCAATTTCAAGTGGTGTTTGTTGGAAGTTTGTTTTTATATTTAAGGAATTATGATTCCATTTGTATAATATTAAAGCTGTTTCAAAATGTCCTCGAGCACATGCCCAAGCCTAAGTTCAGAATTTTCTTCATTAATCACTTGCGAGATATTTTAGAGCTATAAGGAAGGACTTACCAATGGTGTGTATCCTTGAACATCTCGACTTAAAGCGTCAATCTCAGTATCCAATATAAGATTAGGATTTTCTGAACGCCATGCTAACATAGCACAAACTAATTTTGAATATCCCAAGGCCGATGCCAAATGTAAAAGTGTCATGCCTTTATAAATATTAAATTAATGAATTATTGTAAATGAAAATTCTTGATTTATCTACCTTTATAGTTTATCGACCAATTACCGGAAGCCATTGAAAGCCATGGTTTATTTGTTAAATGCTGACAATAGGTAACCAATCTGTCTTCGAAATTGTCTTGTGCTATAACAACACCTTCTTCAGGCTAATAAAATATATTAACAATGTTTAAATACATAGAAAACATTTAATTCCATATGACATTGAATTTTATCAATAATTATACTCACAATATCTTTAGGTTCACTTTTTATTTGCATTTTTTGATCAATTGATAGTAATCGATCCAGTAAAGTAAATTTATATAAACTTTCATTAGCAGCGCTATCATATGCTGTTTCGACGATAGGAGGAGCTTTATATTCAAAATTAACTGAATTTGATATGACATATCCATCACAAGCGACTTGAAGGGAAACCATACCAACTTCATGAGCTTTAATTAAGAAGTAAAATATTTTGATTAAAGACCGGAAAATTATTTTTGCTATAAATTTGTTTATCAAAACAAATAATAATTAATTTGAATTATATTTCAAAATATAATAATCACCTGGACAGAAACATCTTAAAACACCTTCTTGGACAACATGGGTTTTTACCGGAAAGGAATCAAATAAAACAGTATATTGTGATGTTGAATTCCATGGTCCGGTTACTAAAACTTTAACACCACCTTCTGGATAAGCCCATTCTGGACTATAATCAGTAATATTAAATGCAGCTGTATTGTGACCACTATTTAATGATAGTAAATCATTTTCAGTTGAATTACTTCCAGACAATGAATTCATTTTTAAACCACCATTAATATGATCAAAATTTGAATCATTACTATTATTATTATTACCATTCATAATATTGCCACCATCTAATATTAACGATGAATCATTATCAAAACTATTTTTACCATCAAATTCTAAATCATCCACAAACATATCAAAAGCATCTAAATTTATATAAACATCATCGGGTATATGAACACCAGTCGAATCATTTCCATTACCATTACCAATTAAACTATCAACACAACCATTTGGATCACTAAGAATACTGTTATTATTTACAAGATTACCATTATGACCATTTATTAAATTACTACTTCCATTTGTAAATGAATTTGTTTCACCAACAATTTCACCAACATCACAGACATTATCAATAAAATCCATAGGATTTATATCATTTGAATCAATAACGGTATCACTAACATTTGATATAATACCACCACCATTATGATTACCACCATTGCCATTACCACGATTATTATGATGATGATGCTGATGATGGTTTTGATGGTGCGATTGATGATGATGGTGATGATGATGATGAGATGGCATATTGGCAATAAGAGTTTTTTGTATATCTTCATGTGATAAATCAAGTGTTTCATTAAAAAATGGCAAAGAATCATTTAATTCTTTAACTAAAGAATTCTCTTGATGTTTATTATTATGATCATTTGATGATGCTGAAACTGTTGTTGTATTATTATCACATGGAAATTGAAGATCATCAAAATCTGGTATAGAATGCGACTGTTGTTGTTGCTGTTGTTGTGAAATTGAATTTTCTTGTTGACTTGAATGTTGACGTTTAATTGTTGACATTGTATCCATCATTTCAGTTTTAGGAACAAGATTTGCAGACATTGCCGTCATATTATTATGACGATTTTGATTTGAATGATGATGGATTTGTTGCTGTTGTTGTTGTTGTTGACATAAATATGAATTTTGCTGACTTCCATTTAATATTAATAGACTGTTAGCAGATGATGAAATCTTAAAAAAAAAAAAATTTAGGGTATTCATAATAAAATGGTAAGTATAAGAATTTTAAAATTATAGTATCAGTAAACAAAATTATTTAATAGGATGTGCTATATGAACTGTAAATTTTAATTTTCGAATAAATATTTAATTGTGTTATAATTATTTTAAAGTAATATAAATTACAAGCTTCATAATTACTATACGTAGAAGTTAATTTAATTCTAATAATTTAATAAAACAATAAAATTATATTTATTTTATAGTAAATTATTTCTTCTAATTTTAATATTATTATAATTTAATTCTAATATACGCCCACGTAAATTATCAAGAAATTTATATTTTACCTATTCGTTAACAAATAAATATAAATTTCCCATAAAAACCGCAATTTATTTTCTACGTCAAATAATATTTTACAATATACTAATAAATCTGAAAACCATATTATTCCCTATTTTAAATATTATACATATATTATATACATACTTATATTGTCTATGAGTACATGAGTGTATATATATTCTATTATTAACTTCTAATAATTTTAATATCCCAAATGACTTTTTAAAAATTATTTTCCAATCAAAATATTCTAAATATAATCAAATATAATAAAATTAGAAACAAAAAAAAATGAAGTTTTTTAATTGCCCAATAAATCTATAATTTGGACCCATTAAATAATTAAACAATTATTAGTGACTATAGGTACATATTCAGATTTTCACAGATAATTATAAATAATATTTATTAAATTTTCTTTTTTCAATATTGTTAGAGTTTTAATATTTTTATTTATTTATATTTCATTCAATTATTCGAATGGTATAATGTGTATGTACATATACATTCATACATATATACTCAGTTCATTCATTTATATCAATGTAAATATATTTATTTATTTATTGTTATAATAAAACTAATAATAATGGATATGATATTTTCAATTGATTGAAATTTTCTAATTTTCTCATTATTATATTGTTGTAAATTTTATGATTTTGTTGAAAATTAAAAACATAAAATTTTAACCTCATAAAATCATAAATTTCAATATTTTTTGAAATCCTCTACATAATATTCAACTTATGTATATATGGTATTATATTCGTGAATATAACAGATATCTAAATATAGCAATAAACACAAGTACACACAATGTTTAAATATGTATATGCCTGCCTTAATACAATTTTACATGTGGAATAATTTACCCATATAATCTATGTACATGCAAATAGCATTTATGTAAATGTTGATTTGGAATGGTTATAAAATGGTGTGGGTTTGTTTGTTTTTTAATGTAAAAATTATATCATCCTTACATCATGCACATCAAATGTATTGTTAATTACAGTTTCTTGCAATATTATAATGTAAAATTCAATATTTTTCTTGAAAATTGAATTGCAAATATTTTGGCATAACAAGGAATACAAAAGAAAACTTGATAGAGTATAAAAGCTACAAGGATTCGTATTTGGACTTGCTTTATAGCTTATAGTTGAAATTATTTTATAAGCTAGAGCTTGTAACTTAAAACTTGTAAAGTCTGTTAATTTTTTTAGAAATGATAGAAATTTAATAATTATTTTAATTATCTATATAGATATAATTTTTTAATTATCTATTATTATTTTTGACAAATTTCATATTGTCAATTAACAGAACTTAATACAACAATTTATTCAAGAGTAATATAATCGAAAGACAAGAATTACATAAAATGGCAGAATACTCTTACTTTTTATAATGCTAGTAAAAATAAAATTGAAAATATGCAAATGTGTATAAAAATTCACCTGGGACAAATTTAAAACAAGTGGAGGTGCTGAACTGTTGTTAGTACCATTACCACTATTCACATTATTATTACTGTTACGATGACCAAGGGAACTGTTACTAATTAGATTTGATGATGACACCCTTTGATTGACACCATTACTATCAATTATTGTTTGATGTTGCTGTTGCTGTTGTTGTTGATTAGAATGCATATGATGTTGTATTTGAGTTTGAATATTGCTATTATTATTTGTATTGCTGCTACTGTTACTATTATTATTATTATTATTATTTTGTTGTTGTTGTTGTTGTTGCTGTTGATGTGGAGTAATACCACCATGCTGGGAATGATGATTCTGTGGATGATGTGAATTTGAATGATGATGTTGTACAACAGTCGATGCTGATGATATTGAAGTAGAGGATGATGAAGTAGAAGAAGAAGCAGAAGAAGAAGAAGAAGAAGAAACCGAAGACCCAGATGAAACTGATGATAAGGATGTGGAAGATGTTGATGTTGAAGACGTTGTATGATGATTATTTGTTAGATTATTAGTATCACTTGAATTTTGTATGGTTTGTTGATTGGAATGGGCATTTGTATTATTGGAGTTTTTATTTATTGTATTATTATTATTATTATTATTGTTGTTGTTATTATTATGATTACTAACAATACTGTGTTCAACATTTGAAGCTGATGAAGTTGTAGATATATTTTGTGAATATATTGATGTGCCTGTTCCTGTTGTTACTGTTGTTATTGTTCCAGTTGAACTTGAATGATTATTAGAGTTATTTGAATTTATGACTATTTGATTAATTTGATTATTATTTGTAATATTGTGACGATTTATTTGATTGCCTTGATTAGACGCATTGGTAAATTGTGGTTGTTGTTGTTGTTGTTGTTGGTGATGATGATTTTGTTGATGATGACTTGAAGCTGTTCTACCAATTATACCAATGCTTGGTGTTTGTGATGAAGTGTTATTATTATTAGTTGATAATAATTGATGTGAACTATGATGTCGTGTTAATAAATGTTGTTGTTGTTGTTGCTGCTGTTGTTGTTGTTGGTGTTGATGATGTTGGGATAATGATTGAGAATGAAGATTTGGAATTACTTGAAATTGCATTGACGATTGATTTTCAATTGAAGATTTTTGTGTTAAATCAGTTGCTGAATCACGATTCCTTTGATCAACCCAACGTGAATAAAACTAATAACAAATCAAAAAAAAAAAATAATTAAGAAAAACAAAAAAAAATTTATAATATTTTGAAATCTTAAACTTACTCTTGGTCCAACTAAAACATTTGGTGTTGTACTTGTTACTTGATTACTTCCATCAGATCTTTTATCTGATAATGATTTATTCATACGTCTCATTGGATGTGCACATGATTTACCATCAGCACATGTTGAATCTGGACAACCACATTCTAATTGTTTAACTAATGCTGCTTGCCGTGCTAAACGTTGTTTTTCCATTAATTGGCTAACAATAGCTTCAACGGTCTCAGCAGTCTACAAAAAAAAATTTTTTGTTCATTATAGAAACAAAATTTTTTGGTTCAAAATTAAAGTACTTACGGATATTTCAATATCATTTCCTCCTTCTGGGTCATCTTCACTAAAAACTTTAAATGAAATTTTTATATTAAATAAATATTAGCTCGTGAAAATATTATTTAAGAATAATTTTTCCGAGAATATATATATATATATAGTTATATAGAAAAATTGAACAACAAAAACAAAAAATACACTTACACATTGGCTTTAATTGACTGACTAATTCCTCTTTTGTCCATTCTTTTTTGTCACCCCATAATGAAAGACTTGGTGTTATTATTGCCATTTTATTATCATCTGGATATGGAACATTTAAATAATGTACAAGTACAATATCCGGATTCTAAATGTTTACAAACATTCCAGACATTTTTAAGTACATTTTGTAATATTGTTTTTGTTGTTTGGTTGTTTTTTATTTTGTGTTAATTGCCATTCAGTTGTAGGTAAAGATTTGATGATTCATCCGTACCCGTCGATATAATTGCCCATTAAAAATTAAACCAAGATAATTATTTTCACAAAGAAATAATGAAATTAAATAGGGAAAAAGAAATAAATTAGTTTTAATAAAAATTAATTTTAATTCGTACATAGTTATTACAATATAAATACCAAACTATAACGGTTAACAAAATTTAAAAGGCGAAAATCTGCTTAAGATGCTTATAATCTAAAATATCAAAATATGGCTGAAATAATAACGATAATGAAACAATGAAATCATATTGGCTTCCTTATTTTGTTTTAAATTTTATATAGAAAATTACATATTTTGCATTTTAATCAAAATTTAAATTATGAATAATTAACATTCCGGAAATATGGTAATTGTAGATTATTTGAATAATTATTAACTGTATCCTGCCGAAATCAATACAGTAATTTAAAAATATTCCGCGAACTCAAATCAACTGCAATGTAATGGAACGATATTATTTTAATGAAATAGTTTATAAAATAGCCTGAAGTACTAATTCCAAATAGTTTGAATTAAAACTGAAGTCCAGCAAAAAAATGTTACACATTTGCGAAAAATTTTAGAGACAAAACTGTTTTTACTAAAATTTCCAATTTCTATGTAACAAAAAAATGAGGGAACATTAACTTTGTTCTTACATAACATAAGATAATTTTCTCAAATATTACATATGAACCTGAAATATTTTACACCGTTATTTGTCATACAAAACTAAGCAAAACAAAAATATTAAAAGAAAAAGGAGAAATGAAATAAAATAACACTTACCTGTAATAGCCAGTAACACCTGCGATGAAATGTTGGTAAAATCGCTGAATGTACATAACAACCATAAATGCACTGAAAGAATAAAAAGAATTTACAAAAAAAGGAAAAATTATTATTAGAAAGTTTTCAGTGATCAGAGTTAGAAATTATGTTAAAAAAAAAAATATGAAAACAAAAAAAAAAAATTAATAATGTTTACGTTGTTTTTCACATCCACCACACAGTAGCAGATTTATTGAAAATATAATAATAACATGTGACATCTAAGAATGTGTAAAAAAAAAAAATAAAAGAAGAATGACAAAAATGAATAAAAATTTTAACAAAATTTCAACAGTGATAACTGTTAGCTAATGTTAACTGGGTTTTCCATTGTAATCCTTTAAATGAAAATTTTCAATATGAAACGAGGTAAGTAATAATACTTTCGAAATTGAGAATTTAACACTGAAAATTTTTATTCTACTTTAAACAAGGAAACGCGTATATGTAAACAGTACTACGTTTTCAATTCAATTGATAATAATTGTTATAATAGTGCAATGACAATTTGGTTGAAAAAATCTCTCAATATTATTTATATGTATCCTGATTTCAAAAATGCAATAATAAAGTATTTTATGCACAATTCAGCTCATTAATTTTAAATGCTGAATTATGTTTTTGGACCGTATTGCTGCAATAATTTTGAAGTCATGCATATAATTAATTTAATATTAAAACCATCAATTATTGTATGCGATAACAATATTTCCCAATTTTAAAAATTACCTACAAATAATACAAGTAATAATAGTCACAATTTCATTTCGAATCAATGAAGTGGCACAAAAATTTTTTTATTATAAATTTCAAGTGTTATGTAAAAATTTTTATAAAAAACAAGCTGAATATGACATATTAATTATATTCGAAATTATATTGGTAACTTAAAGTAATTTGACTAATTTTCTCTAATTTCCGAAACTCAGTAACACGATATTAACTCATAATTCAGCAATTCACACGACTATCAGTAAAATATGAAATTTTAAGTGAAATAACTATTAAATTTTGTTTAATTTAACTCTAAATTGCTGCATACGCTTTCAGGGCTTCTCTGCAATGTAAATTTTGGTAAAAAAATTTTTTTTAATTTTTTGCATTTGCACGTAGCTGCGATTTTATTTTAAATTTCTTATAAATTTTATACTAATATTAAATTGCAGAAAAAAAAACAATTTATTAAATAATTTAAAAAATTTTGTGAAATTTTATTTTTAAAATTAAATTAATGAAAATTGAATTTTTCTGATTAAATTTTTTTTTTTTATTTATTACAAATGAATTTTTTTTTTTACTCAAGACAAAAACCACAAATTTTATATATGCAATTATTTTTTATTTTTCAAATTTCTTTTTTTTGGTAATTATTTTATTTGAAAAATTATATTACAATATTGTACTCGTACGTACCTCGTATATGATTTAAAATATTATATAACTATATATACATATAATACATACATTCTACACACTCGGATCTAAATTGAAACTCGTAAACATTTTTGATATTATACGAGAAAATGTTAGTATGAAAGAATTTTTTCTTTATATGATGAATATGTATGTGTGTATAGTACATAATTTTTTGTTTTGATACTTGAGATTCCGTTGTTTGAGAATAACGAAAAAAAAATTTTGTTAGGATAACAATGATTCTATCGAATAATTCTGTTAAGAAAAAAAAAATAACAGTAATAATCCTTACAAAAAAACAAAAAATAAATTCGGAAAATTCACAAAAATGAATTTTGTTATTGTTACCATTTATTACAATGGCTACATACATAGGAATATACATACATATATACTAAATTTTTTCCATATATTGAAGGTGCATCTTTTATATATGTATAAAAACATAAAAGAATTTTATTAAGTCAGATTTATGAGCTTTAGATATGGTATTTTGTAATTTTTTGTACTCAATTGTTGATTTTTTTTTCTCCTTTCTATTTTGTTTTCTCTGATTCATTTCTCATTTTTTATAGACTTGTTTTTCCCACAAGTCCGATTGAGGATTTTTTTTTTTTTTTGTAAAAACACAAAAACAAAAAAAAAATTTTTCTGTTTTTTAGGCATTATTTTTTTTTCTCATATTTTTTATATGTTTTTCTTTTCTCTCTCTGTACATCTATAAATTGAATTAGTTATACAAAAAAAAAAAAAAAAAAAAAAACTGATTCATCAAAATATGAATATTAAAAAAAGAAATTTTTTATAAGAATGGGGTTTATTTGTATAATATATGTACAAGAGAGTATATATACAAAAAAAAAGGCATGAAAATAGAAAAAATGAAAGGAAATTTGTGGCATATTTTAAATTACAGATGGGGTATAGCTATGTGAAATAATATCAATTCAAATTTTTATAACTTTACGATTATTACAGTTAAATAAATCTTTAATGTTTTGTTTTGTTTTTTCTTTTGTGAGTGAAATTATTAAATTATGTAATAGAACAATATGGAAACAAAAACAGAGAAATGCCTATAGGATCTTATTAAAAGTTAAGATAATATTAGAAGTTTTTATAAAAAATATTAATATTTTAAAATAAATGATGCCTAGTTTAGTGAAAATTTAAAAACCTTGAAATTAAAATAAAATTTTAAGTATAACAAATAGACAATTTCTTTGTATAATTGCAGAACAGATGGACGACGTTATCAAAGGAAGGAAACAAGGAAGAAAAATTAAAAAATTTTTCTACTCGAACTGGACTCGAACCAGTGACCTATCGCTTTTCTTGGGCGAATGCTATACCAACTGTTCTACAGTTGTATGAAGAAATTACCATTAATTATTCTTATTAGAATTAATTATAAATTATAAATAACTACACGTTCTATTAGTAATCAATTATAAAATTTTAAATATATTAAAATATGTATGTATGTATGTTTAATATGAAACTCATAAGCAAGAAATAAAATGCTGGATATCTCATGTTGCAAGACCATACAATTTTTAGTTTTTACTCATAAAATCATCATTTTTCTTTTATATCGAAATTTACATAAATATTTGCTATAAACTCCAAGCAAATATTTGTGAGTCTTTTGTGCGACTTTTCAGATTCCTTTGGCGAAGGTGAGCTTGTTCAGGTAAATGGTATTTGGGATTACTTTACATGGTGGTGGGCTAATTTGATGTATTACATGGTACTGTGTTACATGTGGGATGTTAATTTGAGGGTTGCCGATAGGCCTTCTTATTGGCCCGATAGGTTTCGTGTGAGACACCAAACGGACTCCCCCTCTTTTACTACTACTAAACATAACGCACCATTTTATTGTGTGTATATCTTGAATTTTATAGAAATTTAAGCATTTTTTACTTATATGTATATAGTTTATGTCCTTCCAATATAGCAATGACATTTAATTAGAACTCAAGATGATTAATAAAGATTTGATTAATATAAGCATAGTTAAATATTTCGAGACTTTCAAAGCAAATTGTTAATAACAATTTTCTTTTTCAAAATTTCCTTTTTTCTCTATTAAATAATTTGTGTCTTACTATAGAATTTTTTAGAAAAGAATTTGTTCCAAATACACAAACTTTTGTATTTACATTTTATAAATTATATGAAAATTCCAACACATACGTATATGGAGTACATCATATTCTATTTTGAACTTAATAAATCTTTAGAATGAAAAAAAAAAACAAACAAGTATACACTTAAAAAATCGTTAAATTTTTAATAATCTTCTCTTGCATTGCAATTCATTTGTACGATGATAAACAAGAAAAAAAAAACAAAAATTATAGGATGCAAAATAATTTTAAGGGTAAACATAACAACAACACCATCTTCATACAGAATATTTTTATATGTATAGATGAATGTGTACATTATATAAGTATACATTATGTTTTACAATCAATCTAAAAGAAAGTGGTTAAACCATTTTTATGTTTCAGGAATTAAAAACCAAAAAAGCAAAACACAAAAAAAAAAAGCAAATAACATCACATTCTTTAATTTTTTTCGTTTTGGTTTTTTGCTCTTAAATTCCAATTTTTTGGTTTTTTGCGAAGTCAAATGACCGACCAATGTCGTCATCGGGGAAAATATGAGAATCGTAAAATTGTGTATGCTTACAATTATACTAAGAAAGCAAAAAAAAAATTTTTTTCTTTTAGTCAGAAAATTTTATTGTTATTTTTGTGAAAACAGGACATAAAACTGAAAAAAATTTATTTATTTATTTATTTTTTTTTTGCCAAGTCTCATTTATTTTATGCTTAGTTTTTGTTTTTTTGTTTTTGGGACCAAGGTGAAATTATTAAATGAAATATGTTTTGTTTTTTATATAACACCTTTGAGAAATTCCAATATAATTTTATGTCCTTCCAGTACCAGTACATTACATATACACAATAATTTAAGATTCAAGAGGCCTCATAATTTTTTAACACAGTAAAAATAACAATTTTCATTTTTTTTTTTTTTTTAAATATTTTCATAATTTTTTCAGTTTAAATAAAAAATGAAAAGAAACAAACATTCTGATTAGGTAATAAAACTGTTATAATATTAAGGATATCATGTACATATACACAACTTATATTATAAAAATTGAAATAATAAATAAAATATAAAAAAAAAAAAATTTATGAAATAATTTAGAAATTAAAAATAATAAAAATGAAATAAAAAAAAAATTCTTGAAAATCTCAATTGAACAATAATTTTTTTAGTTGGTTACTCGGGTATGGTCATTATTTCAGTATCCTTATGAAGGATTTTAGAAATAAAATTAAAATTTCGAAATGAAAATTTTATGATTTATGTGGAATGATTTGTTTTTTTTTTTTTTTTTGGGTGAAAATTATTTAAATTAAATTAGAGAAAAAAAAAAACATTTTAGTATTCACATGAATTTTTAAAAAAAGAAATGCAATATTTTAGTTTGATACAAGCAGAATTTGAATTAATTCTTTTTAAACTACAGTAAAACCTGGATAGGAGGAAAACCCCTTTAAATAAAATTAATTTTCTGGTCCCTTGAATTTTCTAACAAAATCTTCCTCTATAAGAAGAATATCTATATGTACCCAATTTATTTTATCCTTACATTTTATAATATATTTGTTTTTTTTTGTTTCTTAAATCATTGAGTTTACTAGGTAGGTGACGAGTTAACTGTAGTGTATATGCATTCTATAATTGCGATAAATTTTAAGAGTTTCGCGCAAATATTTCAGTACATTTTTCGCCTCCATATAAAAGAAATATTTTTATGATTAACTCTTTAATTGCAATTTTTGTATTTAATTTCGTTTATTTCTATTTGGTTTCAAAATTACGCTCCAAATATGTTCGTGAGTATTTATTTAGGTTTTGTTTTATTCAGCAAATAAAAAAACAAGATATAGGAAGTATTGACAGAAGAAATAACACTAGGGTTACACTCGACGAATTTAGAAACAGAGAGTAACGAAGAAATTTAGAAGCACGAAAGTATAAGTAAATTTTTCTTATTTAGTTTTGGTGCCCGGTTTGACTCACTTGTTTTGCGAAATTCTATTGGATTTCAGAAAAACTTCTTTTGAAAAAAAAACCTAGATAAGTGGAAAACTGAAAAAGTGAGAAACCTCTATAAGTATAGAACAAAATGTTCGGTCCAAATTCAAATTACCCTAATCCACGTTCAACTGTATAACATTTGAGGCCTGCTGAGGGCCTATAGGAACTTAAAGGAAATAAAATACGAAAAAACTTATTATTCTTGTGAATTCGGATAAAAAAATTTTTCGGATTCAATGATATTTCTTAAAAAGTAGGCATTAATAGAAAAAAATTAATTTTTATTTTTATATATTTTTAGTAGCATAAATTAAAGTATTATCAGATCCTTATGTAAATCCTTTTTTGAGATTTCTAAATAAAATCTCTTATTTGTACAAGAGTTTGTACATTCTCTCTTTTATTGTATCTTTGTGTAGATTTTAAAGATTAATTCAAATTTTCGTATATTGCACGTCTTAACTAGGAAAAAGGCACACATCGTTTAGTTAATTTGAAAATCTTTAATTTAGAATTTTCTATGGGATCCTGAATTGAATAAATCTATTAAAAAAATTAGTCAGTATTTTATTCCATTAATCCTATCTAATTTTTGTTTTTATTTAAGTATTTTGTGAAATTTTTAAAATTGAAAGATATTTGCCAAAAATTATTACCACAAAATAGTTTTTAATTTCCAATTCTTATACGTCTCAAAAATTATTATTGCTTATTTATTCACTTGCATACATGCATAGACATAATACTCATATATGTTGGTAAATATATGGAAAGATAAACTATCACGTCATAAAGTTAAAATCATCTACGTTTTTTCCTATTCTGGTTTTTTTTTTTGGCAATAAGTTAAAATTGTTATCCTTTTGGCTTTTTCAAAGGTTTCACTTTGTTTTCTTATTTTTTGTTTTGTTCTCTTTAGAGGTTTTCTTTAAAAAAAAAAAAAATTTTTTTTTCAGCCAATGTAAATGGCATTGTATACTATTCTCTTGAATAGTTAAAAGTCAGAATAAAAATTTATTTCATTCATTTGTCTGAGCAATTATTTACATGGGGGAGGTTTTAAGTCATTCAATCGTATTTTCGTTCCAACCTTATTTTATATTATTTCACGTTTCTTTTTTCTTTTTTTAACTCTATCCCTCGCATTGACTTCTCTTTTTTGTACTTTGGAAATTTTTGAAAGTGAAAAAAAAATTTGTTCAAAAGTATCTTTAAATAATTTATATGTAGATAAAATGTAAAACTTTGTTCACGTAATTTTTCTTTATTAGTGTATAACGAATAATAAAATCGAATCCCTTATGATATGATTTATTTAAATCTTTTTTACTTGTTTTAAGGATCTTGTTATACAAGAAATTACGATATTATTGTTGTTTTTGTATAACTTTAATATTGTTACTTAAAGTTTTTTTTTTCTTCGTATAACAAAAGGATAAAATGTTCTGTGTCAGTCACTGTGGACCGATTTAATGGTGATTATTATATATAGAGTTTTGCTAATTATTGTGTAGAATAAATTTTTAAATTATTTTCTTTGCAAGGCCACAAATTTGAACTATGGTCTTGGAATTATTTAAGATTTTTATTAATTATATAGTTTTTAAAGTTTAACTTATGTTAACTTGATTTCCTTCTTTAATTTTTAGTAAAAGAAAATTTTATTTCAGAATAAAATGTTCTGTTTAGAAAATCTTGCTAAGATTGCTTACTTTACACAAGGTGATTTAAAGATAATTACATTCACTTTAAATTTGATGAAAAATCCAAAATCTATTTTCAAGTTCTTAGCTTGCAACTAAATACATAGAATTACAAATTGTAAAGTAGCAAAATTAGACATTTATTTAGAGAATAGTTGTGATTGTCTCTAAAACTGTAAATAATTAGAGCTTAATATTATACAATAAACGCCCTATATAGCATTAATGTATTCTGTGAGTCAACTTATTATATATAACATGTAAGTTCAAAATTTTAAAATTACGCATTCTTGATAGTTTTTTTTATGAATTTTTAATTTAATTTATAGTATGTTAGTCTCCGAATATTATTGATTAAGATTACTATAAGTTTTTAATTAAAAATTAAAAAACAAAATTATTCTATTGCATCTTTTCACCTTCCACTGTATGATATTAAAAAAAATTTTTTAAGGTAAGATTTAGGGGCTATTAGATTTAATATAAGACCAACAAACTTCATTAATTAAAACTTCAACATTGAAAGTTTAAATTCTCGTTTGTAATTCTGACTGCAGAAGATTTTATTAGCTAAAACTGCATTGCAATGCAACTACTAAAGCAGAGCTGCCGATTCTCTGTTAATTAAGATTATGAATATAAAAGCAGAAGAAAATTTTATGCTATCGAGTTGACAGAAGATTTTTTGCAGTTCTATCAACAAAAACGGAATGCTTTTTTGCAGCAAATCACAGAAAACATGTTGCTATTGGCAGATCTTTGTTAGAACTGCAAACGGGAATTCAACAAAATTCTGCGCAGTTGGCAATTAAATTAAAATCCCCCCCCACCCCCAAAAAAAAGAAATTATTTTCAGTTTTTCGGAAAAGCGCTGCTTCCATTTAATATTTTTTATAATAAAATTTTTTTTTTCCAACTTAATATAATACGAGTATTGCCTTGATGAACATATTTTTATTTGCTAATAGAATTATAATTTACTAATTTAACTTTCTATGTAATGAAATAATTTTGAAAAATTGCAATTAATAATATCAACAAGGAATGAACATGCCAAAATAATTGAATCACCATGTCTAGTTAAACACTATAATATAAAATTTTTAATATTTCTTTTATATTCCATTTTCTTTAATTCATTTAATTTCCTACTGTTAACACCATGTTTCCTACATATATATTTATTTATCTACAAGTGCATTATATGTGTATAATGTCTATAAAGAATCTAACATATTGAAAATGCTTAAGGGCATATAAGAACGAATTATTTATTGAACTCATGTTTTCAATTTTTATTTTCCCTCAAATTTTCCCAATTGTATCCTTAGAGCTATCAAAGAGTTTATGCTTTTTTTTTTTTTTTGTCTTTCATTCTTTCTATAAAATTTCTGTAGAATGGTTCCTATTCTAAAGGCAGGAAGGAAGAAAAAGATATAAGGAAAAAACAAAATTACTTTTTTTAAACACTTATTTTTTTCTCGCTGTTTTCAATAGAAAAAGAGAGAGAGAGAGAGCAAGAAGAAAAAAAAATCGCGAGAAGAATTAATTACATGTAAAGAAAAAAAAATTTTTGGCAATGAATCTATTCTTTCAATTTAAGAAAATTAAAAAGAAAGAAAACAAAAACACTCTAAATCAATATCAAAAAAAAAAAAAATTAAGAATGAAAAATTAATGTTTTCCTTTAAAAAAAAAATTAATTGAATGAAAAAAACTTAAAAAAAAATTGATGAAAATATGAAATTTATAATTGAAGGCGATAATTTTTTTTTCTACTCCTTTTCATTTTGAATAAAATTTTTTTTTTTTTTATAAAATTTATTATACTTACTTCAGTCCCTTGAACCTTTAATTTCATATGATCTTCTCTTGTTGTTTTACCATCTTTACGTTTCTTCCAACAATAGCCATCTCGTCGATATCGGACTTTCTTTCTCGAATACAGCAATAATGAGCCACTTTTTGGTCTGAAAAATTAAATAACAAAAAACAAATTACGTTAATTAGTTAAGTAAGTGATTTTGGCATCACATTTATTTAATTATTTATTTGATTTTTCGAGTAAATCGAGTATATGTTGTGGTGCTCCAGGAATTAAAATTAATAAAAGACATAGATTTTCAAAGAGCTTTAGGTCAAGAATATCGATTGCATTTTCATAATTCTAGCGTCATTCATGATTCGACAGAAGACGAATTATCAGAAATTTGAAATTATATAAAGTTCAATTAAAAAAGTATACTAACGATCATATAACACTAAATGTTAATTGTTACATGCTATTAGAAGTGACGGTACATGTATGGAATATATAAAAATATTGACAATTTTACTTTATGGCGAACGTATATTGCAAGATAGTCAAAATTGGTAAAAACACATTCTTATAAATTATGCTTAATTTTCCTTTGTTATCAACCATTTCCTTACAGAATAATATGTGATGCTCAAAAGGAAAATGTTCATAAGCAGCAACGCATCGAGTTCATTGTGTTCTAATAAAAATAAATTATTAAAAAATTTCTAAAATTTAAGTTAAATTTAAAATGCTTTAAAAATTAAGGCTAAATGTTTCCATATCAGTCGGAATTATTATTCAGTAGAATAATAATTACTCGCTTAAAGGTAAAATAGTGAGTAACTACAATAAAATATATAATTTATATGAGGAATTTCTATCATCATAGATATAATTAAATAAATTCCTTATAATTAACATTTGAACAATAATTTCAGAAAATATGTATAACATAATTATCTAACCAGACGAGACCAGAATTAAAAATATGACATGCCGCGATTACATACAACAATTAGTTTCAGTTTCTTTAAATTACACAAAATATTAAATGACTTTCATTTTGTGAAAGTCTCCACTACTCCATATAATAAATAATGTCACTGTTATACAATGTATATAACATAATTATCCCTAATTATTACAGTTTACAAAATCATTCAGATCATGATAAAAAAATCACAATTTTTTTTTACAAATTATTTAATAAATTTATTAAAGTAACTAAAAAATTAATATTTTCTTAATTAAATTTAAATTAATAATACATAAAATTTATAAAATTTCACGATATTTTCTCTTTAAATGTAAATATTTTTCGTATATAATTATAAAATAAATTTAATGTAAATATTTATAAATATATGTACAATATAATATGTACATATGTACTTGAGGTTAAATCCTTGAAATATTTATAATTTGAATTAAAAATTTATGACAAAGTCATACACAATATTACAAGCAAAAAATTATCCACCCAAAATACTCGGTAATTATTGTATAATGTCTCCGTTTCTTTTTTTTTTGTAATCTTTTCAGTTCAATCATTTAAATTATGTTTACTGTGCCCACAACAAAATATAAAAGAAAAAAACAATAACAGAATATTAACTTTAAAGGATAAACCGTCTATTAATACAATGCATATTCATACATACATTCATATATAGATTTAAGTAGGAAAACATTTTATTAAGGGCAAAAAAAAAAAACCAGTTAATTAGAGGGATCAGTAGTTAACCTTCATACAAATAACTCTTCTGTTAATTTATACATGTTTTATATAGGTATATGTATGTGAAATCGCTTATCATGCGTTTATGTATGAATTTTTGCACATATGTATGTACATATATATAAATTCTGTATCGTTAACTTTATTTTTATATTAAGGATATGTAATAAATTCGTCGAGTATTATCTCACAATTAACAATAAAGAACTATCCTATTAAAATACGAAAAAAAAAAAAGAAAAACTGAAAATAAAAAACTGAAAAAATTTAAAACAGTTAAGAGTTTACTGTATATTATCACCGTTGATATGAGACGAACTGGTACACACAAATAAATACTTGACTTTTAAGCAAATTTCCGAAAAAACTTCAAAATAGTCCGTACAGTTTGTTTAAAAAATTTTTGTATTTCTTATTTGTACGTGAACTCTTCCTCTAAATATGCCAATAATATCCTGCTATAAGCTACTAAAAATTCCAACAATTTGGAAATCTAAGCACAAGCACTTTAAATTCGACAAAGATACAACGATTTCCTTCTCTAACTTAAAGACTCAGTAGCAAATCTTTTGTTTTCCACAAAATAACTGTTGCTATCTGTCAACTCCCACACCTTTAAAATTATAAGTTATTAGTAAAAATTTATAACTTCTTGCCACAAATTCTGCCTGTTCTACAGTGGTGCATGATATACAAAATTTTCTCTATTCTTTGTTACTTTTACTATAAAAGCATTTTTCTTTTATTGTAGACATTTCAGAAAACATAAAATTTTGAATTTAACATTTGATACCGAAACCGAGAAGCTGCAGATCTCTCCTATTTCCAGTGATTCTCAATTTACTTAATATTCAATACTTATGAGATTTTTCTATCATCTGAACTAAATGACAATTTTTGTGAGTTTTTTGTAAAAGCTTGAAGAATTAATCTATTTTTGTTTTCTAATTGTCTAATACATTAATTTTTTTTCAAACAAAAATTTCGATAAAAACCACTTGCGAACATTGAGCATTTGTATTGAACCTTAATTTTTACAGTTCAATTTTTAGTTCATTAGAGGTAGTGTTATTTTTTCATGTCTAACTTGATAAATTTTTTGGTTTTAAAACAAAAAATTATTAAGTTAGACATGATAATTCAAAACACTTGAAAACGAAAAAGTTATGGCATTGACCAACAGTCTCACCTATTTTACTCCTCCTAGGCGTATGCAATAAAAATTTCTTTTTGTTTTAAAATACCAATTTTTTGTTTGTATTTCGAATTGTTCAAGAGAAATGTGCTACATATCAAGTAATTGTTTTAATACAACCTTGTTTTATTTTGTTTACATAAACAAATTTTTCGTTACACATACGAGTACTTATATATATAAAATAATATGTAAACGAACTGATACTATAATGTATGAATAAGGCTTATTATTTGAACATGAACCTGAAACGGACCATCAGATTCTACCCATAATATAATTATCATATAATTAGCTTATAGCGGTTAAATAGTTAATGACTTGAAATCGTTATGTGTATATATGGAAAAGTTCAACTTTATTTTATTCTATTTTTTTTAATGATTTTTATATTTATTAAATTTTTCTTAAAATAATTGTTTTTCTTTGTTTTACATAATATCAGGCAAATGAGAAGTCGAAAAATCGATTTACAAAATTTTCCAATTTTCAATTGTATGAGTTTAAAGCTAGTTGTAAGATAGGTCAGGTACTAGAATTAACAATAATAAAATATTTTTGAACGTGTGAAATAAATTACGTGGCAAAGTTTAAAAATAAATATAAGAATTTTACAAATCAACAGTTTTACTGTTGTCACTTTGAATTGACATTGGTAATTTCTCGTAATTTTTAAGAAAATCAAAATACTTTTATTTAATTTCTGCAATTTGCATGTATGCAGGAGCTTCATTTTTATGTCTAAAATCACTTAAATAAGCATATTACAGTCACTATCAAAAATTTCTGAAGCATTTTCAAAAATTTGTACATAAATTAATAATGTGATCAGAATTCTTTAACTTTTTTAGAAAGCCTAAGTAAAATTTTGATTATACTACTCAAAAATTTCGTAAATTAATTTTTCATTTGACTTTTTAGCAACTCATTCGAGCTGAATCCCTAAATAAATTATGAATTAAGGGAATTTCAAAGCAGTAATTATAAATTTTTAATTACTACTTTGGAATTCCCTTAATAAGTCCTTCATATTTCTTTAAATTCCCCGTATATTTTTTACTCTATATATCTTTTCTATGTGGAGGGAAGGGAAGAAAATTTTTTTAAAAGCAAAAATTTTCTTACCGAAAAATTTTGCAAAAACAAAAAAAAATAAAGTAGTTCCCAAAGAGGAAAAATTATGTTAAATTATTTGCTTCCATTTTCGTATTCTTATGGTTTTGTATTAGGTACTCCAATTTCCTCTTCGTGCATAAGTCTAAAATAAATTTTTAATGCACTTTCATTTTATATATGGAACAAAGATTGACCTTAATGTACCATTACAAATGATTCTTTTTTTTTTGTTATCTCTTTCTCTCTTCTTATACAGTAGACCTACAATTTTTTAACCAACTCTTAAAATTTTTAAAAAGTATGGTTAAGGATTTTATTTTTTCACAAAACAAAAATAGTAAAATGACCTCATTCTTTTTTATATAAATTTTCCTTACCCTCCGCTTATACCCTCATATTTTTGATGTGTTCTTAATTATTTAATTTTTATTTTAACCACCATTTTAAACGTTTAAAATGAATCATAAATTTATTTAAAAAATAAAATTAACAAATAAGTACAAAAAAAAAAAGAAAAAAAAAAACAAATAATTTCATTTTATATTTTAAACAATGCAAATTTAAATTCAAATATTAACAAGGTTTCGAATTAAATTTTTTGTATTACAGTTAAGAAATTTAAGAAACACAACTTTTATTTTTTTAGTAAAAAATAGTATTTTTCAACATTTTTAAATTGTAATGAAAATCAATTTTAAAAATTCATTCGGACCTGATGCATTTATATTTATTTAATTTAAAAATTTTAATTGTATAATTAATTTTTAAAATGTTTGTATACATATAAGTTGTATATGTTATACAGTTTATTTTACGAATACTATTTTACTATAAATAATATTACAAACAACAAGTGTATATAGAGTAAAATTATTTCGAGTATAACAAAAATAAGGACAAAATGTTAAAATAAAAATAAAGTAAATTAATTTGTATTAATTGAATTTTTTATAAATAATTCAACAATTTATATTAAAGTAATATTTTATATAAAAATAATTATAAATGTTTACAGTTCAATGTTATTTTGTTGAAAGAAGCACAATTAAAATATAAAATATAAACTATACATGGAGATCAATCGTAATAAATGATCTACACTAGCTCCAACTATGTTTGATATTTAATTATACATTAATATTAGTAATATATCTGTCTCTCTTTTTGTAATATATATATTGTTATATACATACATTAAAATGAACATTACGCATATTATGCAACTAAATACTTAATTTTTTTTATAACCTTCGAATAAATTACTTGTAATAATCTCAACAGGTTATGGACCCAGCTTAGAAAAAAAATCCTCGTGCATTTTAATATTATTATTATGGCTACTATATTGCATTTAGATATTATGGTTACCAAATATTTGTATTTGGAACTGTTAAAAAAATTATTGATAATGTCAAATGCAAAATTATTTTATTTCGAAAAACTGAAATTTTTGTACTTGATAAAGTTGCAAGTGGAAGCGATATGCCGATAAAAAAGTGATTATTGGAATTATGCAAATGGAAAACATAAATGAAATAATTGATGACACAACAAGTAAAACTGCTGAAATATGGGATACTGCGTAGATGCGAAAACTGAAGCTGATTTAATATTATCAATCAATTCCTCTGAGTAAATGCGGTAAGAGGATGGTAAAACTTCAAATTTGGTATAAGTCACATGAAATTTTCGAATTAAAATATCCAACTAGAAAGGCAAATTTAGTGAAACAACTCTATATTCTCAGTAAATAATAACGATATTCGTAAACATCTACAAAAATTTTAGACATAGTAGACAAATTGAAAGATATTAATCTGCTGATTGATAGCGATCTTATAAGTATTCTTTTGTTAAATAAAGACAACTCGGTCGGTGCATTTTCTTACGAAAATACAAAGAATTCTGTCAACATATTATATTGCCTCAAAAATTCCGTCAACATATAATATAATGAATAATGCAAATATTTAACAACCACGTAAAAATGATTTTGTATTAAGAAATTTCAAATTTCAAAAACAAGTGTATAACACTTTATTTCTATATTATATAAAATATTTTGTTAAAAAGATTAATTAAAAAAAATTTGAAAAAATATTCAAAATCTTAAATTACAAAAATATTTTTTTTGTTTTTTCAATATTAAAATAATTCTGCTTAATCCAATAACTTGTATAGTTCTCATTTAAATAAAATCTTAACTTAATCTCGAACGTTTATCGAAATATAATTTAAAATTTTTGTAAAGGATAATTTAATTAAGTTGGACAGAAAAGTTGAAACAGCTAACTCTATAAAGAAAACTTGTACAGTTTAAAATTTTGGTGACGTGGAAATCCTTTGCACCTCATATATCCTTTACAACAATCTACTCAGGTTAATTTAATAAGGTGTCTTTAATTCAATTTAGGTACAGAATAGTAAGTTTTCGCTTTTACTTATACTGTTATAAATCATGATTTTCGCAATATTTTAAAACTTATAAATATAAGTTTTTATTCAATTTACCTTGTTCTAACTTCCTTTGATTGCCATTCGGAATGTTTATCAAAGCTAATTAAAATTGCTGCGATTTCCTGTAAAATAAAAAAATAAAATTAAATTGAAAAACAAATAAATAAATTAAAAAATATTAATATGAATTTACAAATTTTCATTATTATTTATTATATATATGTATAACAGTTAATTAAAAATATTGTTACTTTTAAAATATTTTTAATATCTTTTGAAAAAGTTTACTCCTTTTACATTTTGTTTTTTTTACGAATTAAAATGAAAAAATTTTCTTGAATTAAATCCAAAAAATGAACAAATTCAAAAATAGTTTCCTATATTGTATATACGCATATATATATAAAAATAGAATTTGTGATATTTGTATAACAGAAATATTTTATACCTAAAGTAGGAGCCAAAAATCAAAAATATTTTTTGTTTTTCCTTTTATTTTATAAGAAATTTTCTTTTAAAACTTTCATAAGTATAAAGGATAAAATAAACAAAAAATGTGTAGTTATATACAGGCATATATATACACATACTTATATTACATAAAAATATAAATTTTATTTTCAAAATCTCCACCTACTTTTTTTCATATTTCGTAAACCACCGCCCACTTTAAGTTTTATATATTAAAAATATTTTCTGTATTGTATCCGGGTTTTTTTTTTTTGTTTTTTCAAATAAATAAATGTTTTTTTTTTTTTGATTTTATAAAAAGCTTAAAATATTTTTGACCAATGAATAGGATGAAAAGGATCTTGTTTTTTATTTTATTTTATTTGTATATTAGGGAAGCAAATAATATAAGTGTATAATAAAATTTGTATTAGTTTTCTTCTAAAAAATATTTTTTTAGATAAGCAAGGAGGAAAAAAGGATAATAAAAATTATGTGAAAATTCTTGTGTATAAATAGTGATAAGAACGTATATTTTAATAAATGTACAGGAATAAATTATGTGGGAAGCATTTTTGAGTAGGGAATTTTCGAAATTTCAAAAAAATAAAATAAGTAGGGAATTATAATAAATGCTTATGTAATATTAGGCGTTTTTTTTTGTGTATGTAGGTGTTTGTGTTTTCTACTAATATAATATTGTTAAATTAAAATACTATTATTTATGGAGAGATTACGAATTTTCTTTAAATTTGTAAATTATGCCCTAATGTTTACCATTTTCATACAATATAAAAAAAAAATTGAAATAAAAAGAGTTTTAAATTTTCGGGGACCATGTTAAGAAACAATAAGGATTTTTATTTTAATGATTTCAGTCGAATTTAATTTATTAATTTCTACGATTATAGGAGATTAGTCATAATTATTAGTAATAAATTTTTAATTTATTTAAAAAATATTTCAATTTAACTACAAATTTAATGAGATCTTCAATTTAATATAAATAAAAGAAGAAATAATAGAAGATCCTGCATATATGCTTAATGGGTAAAATTAGACAAGAAAGCCTTTCCATAAAAATATTAAAGACTATTCCTATATTCAAATTATATTATTGGAATCAAGTTGAAGAAAACATACGATTTCAGTGGATCTGTAGGCAAAGCAACATTCTTAAAAAAATTAATGTTCATAAAAAGGCCAAATGATATTAATAATCATTTGTCTCAATTTGTCTCAATTTTTTTATGTTGTTAATTATTTAAAATCAATCAATATACAACTGGATAGTGTACTACTTTAATTCTTCTATTGCACAGCCTACCAGATAAATACGAGAACTTTCGCATAGCAATAGAATTGCCTGTACCTTTGAATTCTAAAAATTAATATATCAGAGGAATGTGATGCTAGGGATATTTCTAAAAATAGAGATTCAGAAGCTTTTATCACCAAGACTTTCTGAATCTGCACTTTAAAAAATTTTTACGATATTCTAATTTTTTATCGGAGTCAAAAGGTAATAATATTTATGACAAAAATATAACACATTATAATTGTAGGAAATATGATCATATTGCCATTCAGTTCTGGAGGAAAAATAGAAAAATTGAAAATTCTACATCAATGTCGATGAAAAATCAAAAATAAATAAAAAATCAATTAATTACAAGCACTTAATATAATTACCTTAATATGACATCTTATTCATGGAAAACAAGAATTGTCGAATTTAAATCAATTTTTAATATTAAAATTTTAGAAACGCTGAATTCCAACTGAATTCAATTTATTTGTGTGAATTATTGATATTCAAGTAATGATCCTATTGAAAATAACATTTTAAAATAATTTATGAATTTGTCCTCCATTTTAATTCAGAAAATCGGAACTAATGCTCATAAAATCAATTCTAACAATATCAAATTTTCAGTTTTAAAGTTTCAATTGCAATCATGTAATAAGAAGTTTATTTTGTCATTTTCTCAATCTGTATAGACATACAAAATATGGTCATATATGTATGTAAGTTCCTGTATATATGTACTATATTATTCAGAAAGGATAACATGTTACGAAAAAAAATTCAATGTACTTTCAAAATTAAATTGTCAAAAATTTCTTTCAAAAAAAAAAATATGCTTTTTTTTACTTAAATAGAAGACAAACTTTAATAGCAAAGATATTTTCTTAAATTTTCATAAATTTTATATATAAAAAAAAGGACAATAGAAAATAATAAGTAGTGACAACAATTCATAAATTTTAAATCCTAAAAAAAGATTTATGTAGAAAATGGAATTTTTTTTTTTCCTAATTTTGAATAACACATGCATAAATTTTGCATTTGAGTGTAAGTTTAAATACTGAAACAAAAAAAAAATAATAAAGAATGAAGAAAAATAAATGTGCATGTAGAGAGAAAGAAAAAAGTACTGAGAAATTTTTGCATATTCATAAAAATATTTTTTTTTTGAAAATTCCTAGATTTTAAGGAAAAAGAGAAAGAAAAGTTTTTTTTTGTTTTGTGGTTGTATGTGATTGTCATCTTTAAGATATTTTTAAAATAATTTTAAGATCGAAAAATTTATGCGATATTTTTTTTTGTTCTCATCTCCCCCTATAAAACTATAATAGAAAACACTTAAAAAATTTGAAATTTCTTTTTTTTTTTTATATTTAAAATATTATGCAAGAACAGGATATGTGCCAGCCTTTATAGCATTCAAAAATTGTAAAAAAAAAAGAAAAATTAGAATAAAATAGAAGGTTTGTTAAAAAAAATCATATGATTCAAATAACTTTCAGAATTTTAAAATAGATCTTTTGGCTTGAATCTTCAACTCAACTAATTTTTTTTTTGTTTTTTGTACATACGACACTATTGTAGTAAATAAAACAATTTTTGAAATGCAATTTACATATTAATAAAAATTAAAAAATTTTATTTTTAATTTTTTGTGTTTTTGCATCTTCCACTCCTAGAAGAAGGCAATTTTTTTTTTAAAACTTTATCGTTTAATTTGACATTATGCATGGTATGCATAAAAATAAACGAAAAAGAAAAATAAAACGTTTCAGTCTATTAGAGTTGATTAAAATATACTCCGCACTTTGACAATATAAAAGAAATTGTTTTTGAAATATTTAGAATAGTTGTGTGGTAGTTAGTTGAACCATTTTGTTTAACTAACCCATAAAAACTTTATGGTTATATTGAACCTCATGGAAATATCGGAACTAGTGCATTTATGACATTAAAATTTTTTTAGAGCATATGTGGAGTGTAATTGGACGCATATGTATACAAAATTTAAAATAATCTTTTTAAATTGTATGGCTACCAGGAATCGGTTGTGTTCCAGTAATTAGTTCCAGTAACAATTTCTTGACCGAAATGAAACAATTTTGTAAAATTGTGGTGTTGTTTACTTTATTTGTTTTTGAGTTATCGTGCAATCGGACGGATAGGCATAGCAAGAATATAATGTACATGTCTATACTGGACATGGCTCCTTCAAGTGGTTACAAACTCCGTGTCAATATTAATATGTCGTTCACGAAGGTGTAGGAAATAAAATTATCAGTCATTTTTTCACTTTTATTATAGTTTGGAATCATACGAAATATATTTTAAACATTATACTGGGGTTTCAAGAGCAAAGATGGTGGAAAAATTGAATAGTGAATAGTGCAACCTTAATTTATTCTTACAATTAATTTACAATTTATTAAAAATAATATATGAAAATTTACTAAAATTTAAATTTTCAATTGTTTTCCATTACCAATGAAAATTAATTCAAATAAATTTTTTTATAATAATTTAAAATATTATCATGTTCAAAGTTCTATTGAAAATTTCCATATCATATAAGAAAAATGATAAAATTTTTTTAAATTTTCATCTGAAATTTTTACAATGGGAACATTTAATGTAGCATACATGAAATTATAGTGTGACCTTCAAAATTCTTAGATAAAGAATTGAGAATATTAAGAAAATTCTTAGATTGAAACATTTCTTAGATCTTAAAAAAGAAATTTTAAAATTATATAAAAATTAATTTTCCCTTCCTAAATAATTCTATACGATCAATATTTCTCGCAACTAACAATATTGACTAAAGTTCACCATGGCTCCAATAAATTCATCCTTGAAAAATATTTATTATTTATATATATATGTACATCAAATAAATTGATAAAATATAAACATTAAAATAAGTTAAATTAATATATAGCCATTTTGAATCCATAGGGACTACAATATTAACCTACATAAATAAGAATAAAATAAAAAAAATATCAAAATTCCTAAAAAAGACAAGAATAATAAAAAAAAAAAAATTAAAATATTCGATCACATACAACACATCATCATTCTACACTTTAAAATTCATGACTTTATTACATCAGCCTAACCTCAATCATTGTTTCGTCCTTTTTAATACTCATATTATTTTTCTCCCCTTGTATTTTCTTTAATATTTTGTTTTTTTTTTTTGATTTTAATGAAACCCATTACATAATAAGTCATAAAAGTTTATGCCTTTCCATTATTTTATATCCACTTGCAATTTTATTTATAAAATCCTTATTGTTTTTTTTTGGCTTTTTGTTATTATTGTCTTGTATCCTTTTTGTTGATTTTATTCATAATTTCCTA